CTTTTGAACATTTGACCTCCATTCTTCTAGAGGAGGCAGATTCACGGTATAATCCGGTGAATCCATAATCGATGAATGTTGTCCTGGCGAATGTCAATTTAGGCGCGGGAACGCTGTGATAGAATTCAGAAAAATTTACCCAGTCAAAAAGTCAATGAGTACATTTGATGTGTGTGTATAACTTGTATACACCTGTAAATTGATATTTGGGAATTTCGATTGCTATTCCAAACGTTATTATGTCTACACTACATGCTTCGTTTCTAGGGCATCATACCAGGCAAACTATGCGGTATTGATGTATTCGCTAAACCCTGACAGGCAGGAGCCAGCAACATAGTATCTTCCAACCTAGGCAGGTCGGTATATACCTAATTTTTCACTCTGCATAAGTAGCAACGTAGTTTTTATCTTTAGTTCATACGATAAACGTGAGCCGGACGTCCACAATACTAAGTAAGCGATGGACCGTAATGATCCATAGGCAAAAGTAACAATGAAACGGACAAATATGACAGCTCCGCTCTTTCTACACGACTTTCAGATTTAGCGAATGGCAGTACCATAAGTAAGGTATCAATTGATCCGTTGTCTTCACCTTACAGCACTCGCTTATTTCATGTGTAAGCAATGGTATCTCCTCCCCCTTCCTCTCTCACGACCAAACAACCAAACAATCTCGACTTACACAAATTATCCGATCCGCAACAGTACCGTTATTAACAGCATATCTAATTTACCAGCACAGCTATAACCTCCAATCTCATGCATTGCTCTGTTTCTTTTCCTTTCAGTACTCCCCTTGCACTTCCATAGCTACCTGCAACGATGTGAGACTCACTTGTCTGTGCGCGTAATAGCCCATCTTTCAACCCCAGAGGCTGAGAGCAAGTCACAACAAAATTTTGTTGTGACCGTCAAGGTTTGTGTATAAAAATTCTATCCAAGGCAGCAAATAATTTTTTTCTTTATCAAAAAGAATTAAACGAGTGCAGCCACGAGTCGGGTTTAGAGCTTCGGCTCAATTACCTTGTCTTGCCAGGGATCATCGATCTCTTCGCGCTCAAGATATTCGATCAGCTAAAGAAACCAGCTTCTTTAGCATTAATTTGCTGCATGGGAAGTTGGTGCCGACTCTGGTCATATATTCCCCACACCTTTTTATAACAACAAAGAAACTAAAAAATAACAAATGGAAGTACTTTACTTGCAAAGTGGTACGAAATGGATCGCTTCAAGTGGTGTAGCTGCTGATCTATCAGATATGTGTACAGGCTAGTAGAGCTTGTAGTTTGAATACGATGATAATGACTCATATCGTTGATAGTTCGTTATATAGACTTATTCTTACGGAGAACACATAAAGCCAAAGTCTATAGCAGTACATTAGCAACTGTAAATTACACAGAATAGAACAAAGATAGACTATCACTAATAATATCTTTGCAATCAAATTCTTATCTATGGAGCATCTCTTACTGATGATGGTTTTGCTGCAGCCAGTATGAACAAGGTTCTTATACCAGGCCGAGGAAGAAAGATGAATGGTTGGGCGTGCGGCATTTCAAAGCTGGTAAAATTTCATGTTGGGAGCGGGCAATCCAAGGGAGTATTACCCACTCTTTCCCTTTACCAGTCATTCGCAATGCAGAAAATAACCACAGCTGACCAATTGAACTCTTTCGTCGACTCTTACGATAACTTTTTGTTCGACTGCGATGGTTCGTTTTTCTTCATGGAATAGAGTGTACTTTCCTGCATCTCTCTCCTAGTGCTAATTCTCTTAATCAGGTGTTCTTTGGGAAGGTAGCAACGTATTTCCCAACGTCAGAGAGGCCATGCAGCTCTTGAGAACCAAAGGTTGGCTTTTTGAAGATTTTTCAGTCTGTCGATAACAAAATATGTGTACTCACGATACCTCTCGAACAGGAAAGCGCATTTTCTTTGTCACCAACAACAGCACCAAATCCAGAGAAGCTTATTTAGATAAGTTCAAGAAGCTCGACATCGAAGCACACTTGGTATGTTGCCTAGAGGATGTCAACTGCTACCTCTATAGAGTTATCTCCTTTGACTTACTTTCCCTCTTCTTTTTTTCACTTTAGGATGAAATCTTTTCTTCAGCATTCGCCACCGCTGCTTATCTCAAGAACGTTGTGAAGTTTCCCGCCGACAAGAAGGTTTATATTGTGGGCATGTCTGGTATCTCAGAGGAACTAAAGGCTGAAGGCATTCGTTCTTTCGGCGGTGTGGTTAGTAGAAATAAGCATTGACGAATATATACTATCTCATTGCTAATTGGAATGTTCAGGAAGATGATGGTGCGCGCTCAATAGACGACATCACCGACGACCCAGAGGTAGGCATCTGCGCATCACTTTGCTCTTTTTATCTGTATATATCTAACATTTTTCCTCGGGTTAGGTCGGCGCGGTTGTCATGGGATTGGATGTTAACATCAGCTACTACAAGTACTGCAAGGCATTCACCTTCCTTCACAACCACCCAGACAGACTCTTTTTGCTTACCAACGCAGATTCTACTTTCCCAACTCACGGAACCCTCTTCCCCGGTACATACTCAACTTATTGCTTTTTTAAAATGATATGTTATTAACATCTTTCCTTTTCAGGTGCCGGTGCCATCGCATCTCCTCTCATCACTGCCTTGGAGCGAAAGCCAGATGCCATTCTTGGAAAGCCAGCTCAAAATATGCTGGAAGCCATTTTGGCCGAGTAAGTAGCAATAGCAGACTTTACATACATCTCAAGTCACATCTTGATCATTAACTTTTGTTCTGTGCACTAGATACAGCTTGGATCCATCAAAGTCTTGCATGATTGGTGATCGTTTGGACACTGATATTGATTTTGGTAACCGTGGTGGTTTGACCACTCTCTGCGTCCTCACTGGTGTCACCCGAGAGGACAAGTTGTTGAGCGATTCCAACCCCATCAAGGCCACTTTCTATATTGATTCTTTCGGAGATTTTGCTTCTCTGTCAGGTTCTGCCCTTCCCAACTAAACACGAATAGATATACTTGTATTGTCTTTAGAATATCAACCAGAATACAATGAACGTATGATAGACGCACGAGAGTCTGAAGGCGGAGGAGGGGATTAGCGGCTAAGGATGCATGTTTCCAAAAAATTTATCCACTATCTTTGCTTTTCTTTTTTTTTCATTGGTTTCTGAGACATACATCGATTCTACTTTCTTTCCAGATTATCATACAAAATACCATATGATGAGGTTGTTGCTAAAAGGTTGTGCAAGGCATGTCAAAGATACCACGGCATTATAGTCCGTCCATCTTTTGACCAGTCTAATTGTTTTTTGTCACGGCGTCACTGGCTCGCGTCACTAAGAAGGATGAATACCCACTACCATGACTAGATGGGGATGCAGGCCAAGTTGCAAAAGCAGCACTGATGTCAACAATCGACTTGCACCCCGATATTGTGAGGTTAGATCAAGCTGAGACTACCCAAAACCGAGGTCAATGCGAGATACCAGGAACGGCTAATACGCAGTTCTGGTAATATTGTTTGGAACTTTTGGAATTCAATGAGAAGGAAGTGGAATAAAGGCAAAGCAGTCAGACCTAAGACACATGCACTAAATCATGAAGAGTTAGCAAAGGTAGTGCAAAGTGATCAAGCGTAATTACGTATCTTGATTTTGGGTTTGTTGAATTTCATCAACAATTTTCATTCAATTTGGATAGCCTTTCTACGGATGGCATAGAGCTTTAAAGCATTCGGACTCATGATCTATGAGTGTCCGAAAATTAACAGAGCTAAGCTTAAAGAATTACATTTTGCTTTGAATGCATGTTCCTTGAAATCCTCGTGTATGTCTATTTTGCGATACATTTCCCAATGTCGAGTTTTTAGAACTGTGTAAAAAAGTTAATGATCAGCGTGAAACTGATAAACAGTTTTGACACAGATGTAAATTGGGCATACAATCAGTTAGACGTATCGGTGACTTGAATTGATATAGACGTTTAGTCACCCAAAAAATATTTGAGACAGAAATCAATAGCCTTCGTCTTTTATTTAGAATGACTCATAAGGTACTATCCTTAGTGCATATTTTCATGATGTTAAATGCATTGTGTGGACTGCAGGAGGGTAAGCTATTAGGTATTGTGTTAATGATTTTATTTCTTAATTTATACAGCTTGCACTGCGAGAGCATCTGCCTATGAAAAAATTAAATAATTCATACACGTACACAGACATCATTTTTACTTACAATTTATATATTACTCATACTGTATTTGACAAACATCCATTTCTAGTGTTCTTTTTTTTTTTGGTGAGATTTCCAGTTGTTCTTATGTACAAGTATTGGATGAAAGCCTTCAGTACCTTTGCCATAATTTAAAGAAGTAAAGATTGGCCACGGTTATTTAAAAATAATTGATATGTACAATATAGGACCCATTTAAATTGTAATGGTCAAATTACTTGCCTATAAAACGCTTTATGCTTTAAAAAAAAAGCCTTATCATTAAGAGGAAAAGAGAGTGGGAAACGTTCTGCTTATATTCATTTCTTGCCGCTTCAAATTACTTTTAAAGCTCATTGGAATATGGCCATTACGCCGATCAATTACCAAATATAGAGGTAAGGAGAATGTTCGAAGAAGGGATAGAAAGCATTAGTATATTCAAGTTTAAAAAGTACGAGGTGCTATCAGCCATTATGCGTGCTCTACGACAGAAAAAGAAGGAGATGCATGACCCCATGAAAACTGTCATTGTTTTATTTTATGACAGCTTCTCTGTTCCATTTTTATTAGTACTCATGACATGATAATAGTCACATTCGAATTGAAAAATATTTAATTTGTTTTAATGTCTTTATTCAAGGTAAGAAGTATCAGCTGTACAGTAGTAACATCTCGCATATGATGCATTTCACATTTGAGTCTATATCCCAGACTCAAATATCCCATCATATCTCTAAGCTAAAGTGAAGTCAACAAGAAGGGCCTTGTGGTGCAGTGGTAGCATACTCGCTTTGGGTGCGAGTGGTCCCGGGTTCAAACCCCGGCGAGGCCCCATTTTTTGGATTTTTTTCATTGGCTGCTTGGGCGGAGTTGGAATACGAGCTGGCTGCACTGGTTGAGCCAGCGGCATTGATGCAGACAGTGACTCGAAGAAATTTAATGTCGCGACCAGAATGGCCATTTGCAAACATACAACAATAGGAAGCTTTCAGCACGACCGGCTATAACTATGATAGCATCTTATTGGAGTCAATATATATTTTTTTTGGCTTTTTTTGTGTCGTGACTTCTGGCCTTTCATAAAACTTGACACAGATGAGAGCCTAATCTCGACATCTTTACGTTACGTGAAGGTACAATCAACAGTCTAGGTACAATTTACAAATTTTATTCATTCCTCTATTTACAAAGAACTATAGTACAGACATGCAATTAATTCCCGGCGTCTACAAAGGAATCACACTGGGCTGGCCCTTATGTTTAGGTCGAAGGATCTTGCAATGTTGATAAGTGGATATGCTTTGGTCTATAAGTTCCGGAAAGGTGATTTTGTCAAGAGCTTTCAAATGCTGAAAATGAGATAGAGCATCTGTGGCAATCCACTCTTCACCCCGTTCCAATCTCCATATTGTTCGTTTGCTTCCACTTGATACGGTCCTTGTCATCTCGCGCGACCGCCTATTTCTGCACAGCGCTAGGAACTCCACATTGGGAAATATCTCAGCTAGGGCTCGTATATCCGAATTTTCGAGATACATGCATTCAAAGCACAGTGTAGTGACGTTATAGAGGCGCGCATTTCTTGCTTGTAGGCGTGCGATCAGATCATTGCCATCCATGTGATCGAAGTAGAAAGTATGCAGGCTGTTTTTGTTGGCGTCTAAAACCAAAGGGATGTGATCAAGGGCCATATTCCCGGCAAAAGATAAGGTCTTGAGGGAGCTGGTCTTAATCATCGCTTGGTGTATTGACTGGTTCAATGTTTCGTCACTTTCCTTGCTGTAGACCCACCATTCAAGGTGTTCCAGGTTGTCTCCGAAATTGGTGATGTTGATTTGTGAATCATCGTACTTCATGAGTCCGAAGGCTTTCAGCTGTTTGCGACCTATTTTGAAATCATCCAAATTGACTGAAAGCGGTCGAAGATAGCTATGGAAATCTATGATCAACGTGTGTAGCGTGTTTTGACAGTTCAGCAATATCTTCTTCAATGCTTGATAATCGTCGGTATGATAGACGGTGGCCGTAAACGACTGTAAATATGGCATAGTAGGCAGTGATGGCAGCATGTGGGTAAGAATATCCTCGCAACGGGTGATATTGAGATGTTGTAGCCTATTGAATACATCATTGATGTTGTTCAAGTCGCATGGTTCCAGCTCATATCCGAATGACCCCTTTAGCGATAGATTTGTCAATTTAGTCCATTGTGAGGCCAAGTTGCTCCAATCGAAAGGCAATCCACTATCAGTGTCCGAAGATAGAATAGGCAGACCCAGATATGATGTATGGACGTTTGGAGTTTTGGAAGCTAATCGAGATAACATCGTCGAATAGCTGTGTATATCATCATGATGAGAATAGCCAGTTATTATTTCCACGGATTTAACAAGCTGTCCGAGTGGCTGGTGGCTGCTGATGCTACTTTCAACACACTTTTCATGGTGGGTTTGGGAACCAGTAATAGATCCCACAAACTGCTGAAGCTTGGCATGCGAATAGAAAGATACTGTTTCGTAGAGGAGCGAGTTTGCAGTAGCATTCCAGGGCCAACAAGTGCGACTGCAACTAATTAAGTCTTGAGTCTCAAGCTCTTGAAAAACAATGGATAATATCTCAGTAGGAAATTCTAGGTTGAAATCCATTATCTAGAAGAAGAGTAAACTGTGGTGAGCATGGAGCTGGAAAAAAGAAACAAGGAAATATAGTTTAGTTACTGCTGATAGGAGGCGGCGTTTGGAGGCGGTCAATACTGCGTTGCACAAGCAAAGTTTTATTACTGTGGTGCTGTTTGAAGATTTAGACTACCGAGATTCTCAAAAGAAAATAATAGTAGTGTTATATAAAGTGGGGAAGCGACAGGAGACGATTAGAGTCGTGAAGGTACAAATAAAACATTTAGAAAGACTGCTGATGGGGTAAATGGTGACCTGTGCGACAGATGTCTGAGGCGTTAAATCTCGCTGATGACCATTTTGCGAAATTTGGGGAATTTCTCTGAGAGAGACCAGATCTTTCTTTCGAGAACGACAAGTCGTCAAATTACCTCTCTAGAAGTTGAACAGCCCTGAGTCAAGGAAATAAAATCCAAGGGATAAAGCTAATATGTCAATTTCAAGCATGCTATTGGTTGTGGCGTAAAGGTTTCAAATTTTTCAATTACAAGCTCTGCAGGTTACGGGGTGAAAGGATCGTACGATGGGAGCCAGACACCGCCAGAATGTACACAAAGGGCAGGAATGCATCATTTCACTTGGCAGTTGTCTAGGTATATGAAGGAGGTCATTATGGAAACCATTGGTGGTATTGAGCTTTGGGAGCTGATGTTAACTGAGCCGATGGCACGGCTTGACCTAGGGCAAACAGTGACAAAGCTATGAAAAAAAATGATGCCGCTAAGAAGTGAGGCTGCATGGCCATTCAAAAAGGTATGCCATTGGGAGGTTATCAACACAACCGGCTATAGTGCTAGCTATATTGAAATAACCAAATCTTCGTTTCATTGCATTTGTGTCGTGACTTTGGCTTCGCATAAAACTTTGATATAGAAGACTGCATTAGGCTATGTGAGGTTCTAGCCGTTTACAAGCGACAGCCATTTACTACGGCTTACATTAGGCATGCAATAGGTACAATTTGTAATTAATAATTTACAGTATTATTTATTCAATCCATATTTAATGGAACATATGACTTAAATATCTACCTCTCGATCCTTGCAAGGGAATCACAAGATAAGGACCCTTCCATATGGGCCCTAAGATCTTGCACTGTTGAAAAGTGGATAGACTTTGATCCACAAGTTCCAGAAAAGTCATTATGTCAAGAGCTTCCAAATGTTGAAAATGAGATAGAGAGTCCATGGCAATCCACATTGGTCTACCCGTTCCTTTCAAGGTCGGATACTTTTTCTACACAGTGCAAGGTATTTTACATTGGGAAATATCTCAGCTAGGGAGCATACATCAGAATTTTCGAGTGAGGAGCTTATACAGCAAAGGGTAGTGACGTTATAGAGTCGCACCTTACTCTCTTGTAGGGCATCAATCAGGTCAGTATCCTCAAAATATAGGGTTTGCAAGCTGTATTTGTTGGCTTCTAAAACCAAGGCAGCACAATCGGGAGCCATGTTTCCAGCGAAAGATAAGCTTTTCAGGGTATCTTTCTTAATCATGGCAGGAGGCAATGAAGGGTCCATCTCCCGAAAATTGTGGAAACCCATCCAAGGTGCTCCAGGTTGTCTCCAAATTCGGTAATGTTAAATTGCGAGCCATCCATACTATAGAGTCCGAATGTTTTCAACTGTTTGTGACCTATATTAAGGTCATCCAAATTGAATGAGTTTGGTGGAGCACGATCATCATAGCATTCGAAGCGTATTAACAAGGTGTGTAAAGTGTTTTGGCAGCTTTGCAATATCTTTGGCAGCGCATTATAATCGCTTGCATGGTCGATGCAGGCCGCCAAAGTTTGTAAGTAAGGCATAGTAGGCAGCATGTGGGTAAGAATACCATCGCAGCGGGTGATATCGAGATGTTGTAGCCTATGGAATACATCACTGATGTTGCTAATGTCGTATGTTTCGTTAATGTAGGGGCTTGGCAGATCCGATAAAGATAGTGTTGTCAGCTTAGACCATTGCGAGGCTAATGTGCTCCAATTGAATGACGAGCCACTGTCAGCATTCGAAAACAAAATAGGTACATTGATTCTTGCGCTATGGATGTTTGGGGTTTTAGAAGCAAGTCTAGAGAGCATTGTCGAGTAATTATGTCTATCATCCTCTTGAGAATAGCCTGCTATTATTTCCACGGATTTAACGAGTTGTCCTAGCGGTTGGTGAATGTCGATGCTGTTGTCGACACAAATTTCATGACTAGTTTGAAAGCTACTAATAGATTCGACAAAGTATACAAGCTTTGCATGTGAAGAGAAAGATACGGTTTCGTAGAGGAGCGAGTTTGCAGCACTATTACAGGACCAACAAGTGCGACTGCAATTGACTAAGTCTTGCGGTTCAAGGTCTTGAAAAATAATGGACCATATCTCAGTCGGGAGTTCCAGCTTGATATCCATCATCTAGAAGAAAAGTAGACATTTGATGAGCATAGAGTAGTATTAAGAAGGAATAAGGGGAAATGTCAAATTACTGCCACTAGGCAGCGCATAAGATGCTCAATACTGCGTTGCACAACGCAAGTTTGTTACCTATGGCTTTATTCGATGCCCAAGATTACCAGATCGTCAAGCAAGGAATAAAGTTAGAGCCATATAAATGTAGAAAAGCGACAGGAAATAGGTCAGAGTCGTGTTGGTACAAAATAAAGGAATTGCGAAGACTGCGGAATGGCGTAAATGGTGTCCTGTGCGACAGGTGCCATATGTGTTACAATTTCACTGCTGGGCGCGCTTTACGAGAATTCGGTCATTGATTCGTGAGAGATTAATCTTTTGAATACAAGAATATGCCAAGTTATCTCTAAGCAATGAGTAGCCTATATCAAGCCAGAAGAAATCCATGGTACGATGCTTATAATATCAATTATCAACATGACACTGATTGGTATAAAGTTGTCAAAACTTTAAATTACGAATTTTAAAAACTCCAGTGTTAATTCAAAGCCAAAGGCAGCCAATTTTTTTTTTTTTTAAATGGGTAGGATATGCTACTCACTAGGGCTCATTTGCCTAGGTTTAAAATCAAGGAAAATGTGGAAAATATTGGTTAGTAAGCAGTTCAATGACGGCACCAATTTCTACGACTCGATGTAAATAAAGTACTGTATTTATTCATTCCATTTACAAAGAGTGATAGTACATATATGTAAGTAA